TTTACAGAGACACCTGACTCCCACGATACTTCTTGTTGTTAAGGCAAACAAAAAAGATAGAACTGGGCGATGACTGAAAATAGCTAACCCACTTGAGAGTGATAAAAACATCTGTTGAAAATCTGGTAACCAGATCTCCTTGGTACCAGAAAAAAAACACACACCAAAAAAAACCCTTGGTGGGTGGTGTACACGGTACAAAGAAAGGGAGTCCCTGAGTGTCAGCATCTGGCAAGGCCACGTGTAGCATAATCTGATTAGTTTTCAGTTCCACACCCACAAGCTGAAAGATAAAAACACACACCCCTCCTCCCCGAGGAGGTAAAAATCTTCAAGCATCAACACCACATTTACATTCTGCAAGTCAGCCTCTTCCATGGCCCGATTTACATCTTGACTTCTCCAGCGGGGCGGTGGAAGTTCAGGGATGAGAGACGAGCTCACGTCCCTTTCCAGTTACCACATCCAGCAGACTCAAGATTGCCTTGCTTTGATCTGGGAGACATTCCTTCGTTTAGTTTAACTGAAATGACTGGAGATGAAGCCTCCTCACATCTTCTGCCATGCCTGGGATGTGATAATTGAACATTAGCTTCTATGGGCCATTTTAACATGTTCTGAGGCCGTCCTGGACTGGTGAGCTGAAGCAGCAGTGCAGGCACCATCTGGCCGGCTGCAGTTTGCACTGACTTTATTGCACTTTCTCAGTACTGTTTTCTGGTTTGGTTCATGTAAAATGGACAAAATTGGTACTGGGGTAGATTAATGGCAATGTTTTCTGTTGCCAGAAACTGACACTCGGGTTGGTGTTTGGCTTGAAATAGCTGAGTAGAGGTGAGAGACAAGAATATTGCTCGTCATTTTGGAGCGAATAATGGATTTCTAATATCTAACGTGTTTTGTACTACGACAGCCGACAAATCAGAACAGCTTTTATAGCTTTTGTCTATTAACTCTCAGTTTTTCTCATTTCTTTCCCATCGCCTTGTCTGTGACCTGATCTGTTCCGACAGCCATCCTTATTCAGTAACTCATGGGACAGCCTCAGTCTTTTTGGCCGCATTTCATACCCAAGACTGCCTGTGTCCGTAACCATTTTGTCCCCCTCCAAGCCCATCAATTCCACAAAATCATCTTTGTAACAGAGCAACTTGCACTAAATGCAGTGTTGCAGGCATTGGGGTAGCTGCAACGTTATTTTATTCTGTTCTTTATGTAGCTCTTATATTGCTTTTTAATGTACTCACTGCTGCAGCAGATCACAGATTCTCCCTGAGCTATCCACACTTGCTACCCTAATCTTTTTTCCTGAAATAAAATTACGCCTCATGACTGAGACCAAGGAACACAGCTTTTCTTAGCACACTCCCCTGGGATCAGGAATTTCTCTGTCAACGAACGCATATATCAATGAGAGATGAAAAGCAGCTTGTGGAATGAGTTTTAAACATGTATCACATATTTCATTGCTGCTGCTTATAAGCTACTCAGAAGGCCTTTTTAGAGTGTTTTCAGCCCATACCTCACAGCTTCTCTGTACTTGATAGGATTTTTTTTTTTTTTCCTGCACAGGAATCAGGGCAAGAGATTTATTTAAGTTGCCTACGCTTCTTTATGAGCTCCTCCTGAGTATGAAGTTTTTGTCAGGTTTCCTGCTTGCTTTCAATGCGAGCACGTCTTAGCTTTTATCAAAGCATAGTAACCCATAATGTGCGAAGCTGCAACGTAATCTCATCTCGCTAGGACATTTCACAGGGGGAGTGTGGCTCCTTCTGTGGGTCTCTTTGTCACCACATGACTCCGTGTTACAACCCTAAATTTTAAATGTCCAGAAGGGGAAGGCAAGTCTGCCTTTGGCCCCTTGCTGGTTTCTGGGGACTTGCAGTTCCATTGATGCCTGGGGTCTTCCAGATGTGCATATAGCTCTCTTTTCCCTTCATTTTTGGTTTGGGGGGGGGGAGGTGGCAACACCCAAACCCACACGTCTCTAGATCATGCAATTCAACCAGATGTGGGAATCTTTTTTCTTATTCTTTCTTTTTCTCCTCCCTTTTTTTCCACTTCTTTTAAAATTTTTTTTCTTCCTGTTTTTTTTTTCCCTTTTTTTTCTTCTTTTTTCCCCCTACCTGCACTGAAGTGCACTGCTATCCTGCTGTATTTTGTCTTTCTGTGATAGAGCTAGTTTGTTATACTACTACTACTACTACTACTACTACCCATAATTAAATATAAACTCTATTCTAGCAAAGCTATGCGTGGGCAAACAGCGCGTGATGAAAACAATGCTGGGGGTTATCAGGCACAGGTTGGTGTGGGAGTGGTGACCTGTATAACAAGTGTTCGTGGAGTTATCTGAAGACAGTTGAAATAGTTGGTGTACCAGTTTGTTAGTGATTCTTTAGCAAAAAGGGCACTGTATGAACATAGCACAGGATTTTTCTACAAAATTCCAAAATAAAATTCACTTTGGAGATGGATTCATTCCGAAATAAAGTCAGCCCTGATGTGAGAGGTCAGAGAGAGTCTAATCATGTTTGCCTTATTTTGAGCCCTCTCGAATTTGCCAAAATTTGTTAGGAATGAGTAGAAGAAAAAAGCGGAGGGGAAGGAGATGCCCTTGAAAAACAGAGTGGAAAATACAACTGGCAAAGGGAAAAGCAAATACAGAAAAATTGTGGAGGAAAGGAAGGTGGAGAAGGAGAAATCCCAAGAGAACAGTGACCGTGTGCGTGTGTGAAAGTAGTTTCTTCAGATTTAACAGCATCCAGCTTGTACAAGTTCTAATTTAAATAGATTGCAAAGATAATGCTAAAGACTACCAGGTTAGATGTTATCCTGTTAATTAAGCTGCCATTAGGGCGTTGCTACAAGCCCACCAAAAATCATTCCCCATTTAAAGTGATTGATACCTCCTGAAGAGATGAATAGCCACCCACGTCAGTTCTAACATAGAGCAGCACCTTCTCCTTAAGGAGAAAGCTCCCACCTACCCCGTGCTTTTAGACTGAGTCATCCAGGGGAGGAAAAATCATACTTCAGAGTACAAAATAATGGGTCAACTAATTAATATTTTTAAATTGCTAGAGAAGTTTCACCAAAATTAAATTCCATCTAGTTTCTTCTCATCTCCCAATCTGAGTTCTTCACTTCTCTATCTAGAACCATGATTTCTCTGAAGCTAATTTGGATTTAGCCATCTACTACTGACATTGCTTTGCCTGTATGTCATGTAGGCACTGTGGTCCCAGTTAGATGATGTGAACCCGTGTACTTCAGTACTGTGGTAAGAAGTACCATTAAAAGGCTTTTTTTTTTTTTTTTTAGAAATGGTACTTGGACAGTTTAATCTCAAGATTCAGTGGCCACATTTATGCTTTTAAAATAAATTAACCTGTGCCAGAATTTTTTCTCTGGCCCTAAGACCAATGGGACAATCTGACCGTGCCTGGAAAGCTGAACTCTCATAGCCTCCAGACAGATGGCTGTGTTCACACTGCTGAGGGACAATGCAGATTATCTCAAGCCGCTGGGGAGTATCTGAAAGGGTTCAGGCCCAAACCCTACCAGGGACCCTTCTTATTGTTAAAAGCATAAAAATATCCTACCCAGTTATTGCTTGTGCCAGTGCCCCGGCACTGCTTACAGGGATGGAGGCGGACGTGGTGCTGGGTTGCAGTCAGGGGCTCTGGGCCCCCGTTTCAGCTCTGCCAGAGGCTTTTTGTGTGACCTTGGTCGGTAACCTAGGATAAGATTCATTCCATTTAATGTTGACTAATGGTGAGGGTGTCTAATTAAACTAGTCATGTGTGCTCCCTCTCTGACCAGAGAAGGAAGAGAAAGCAAATTCAGAAGGTGAATCATCCCGTTTTAAGACTGGTGTCAGAGACAAATGAGATGAATTGCCCTCTGGAAGTAGCTATTACTTTCCATTAACTGTAGAGGAAGTCTACATTAGAAGAATTTAGACTAGATGCCTGATTTATGAATGGCTAAAGTTAAGTAAAATTGTTCCTGACATTAATCTCTATGCATGCCTGTTTCTCCATATGTTGAATGGTAGAAATAACACCTTCTGCGCCTCGCATTCAAAGGCGCCATTGGGCGAGGAGCATCCTATAACTACTTTGGAGAGAAATTAAACCTAGGAGCAAAGATACAATTAGAGAAGTAAAGCCTTTGCTCTTGAAACATCTCAATGGCAATATGAGCAGTACCACTTGGGGCATCCTGTTGCTTTTGCCATTTTTCCCCTTTACATTTTGGCAACCGAGCACTCATAAATCAGTGTTCCCAATGCGGCCATACAGCACAAGGAGAGTTAGCCTGGTTTTGGGGAGAGCAGTAGGAGCACTGAGGAAAGCTGACCATGCAAAGGAGCGCAGGACTCAGTCTTGGCCAACAGCTTTGAAGGTTTTCCTTGCAATACTGCTCTTCTCAAACGACAGCGACTATATACTTTTTGGAAAATCTCCCAGAGGAATGAAAGCTAATGACTGACTGTGACAGAGTTTAAGAAAAGAGATAAGGGGAGAAGGAAAGCTTGCATTTTCTTAGCAAAAACCTGCAACACATAAACCAGGCATGGAATAATTGTCCCACTCAATAACTTGTACTTACAAATAAGGCTTGCTTTTGGAAGAGGAAGTTTGCCCCTTTAGCTACCTAGTCTAGTTAAAGCAGAAGAGAAAAAAAAAAAAAAAATAAGGACAAAAAAGACCTTGTGTGGGTGTCCTAATAAGTGCTTGTTTTGATCCAAATTGCAGCATTTTACACATCTGTATGGGCACAGCTGTGCTGGATAAGGCTTTCACCGGCACAACCATGTCCAAAACACAAATCGCCCCACCAATGCTGCTGTGTTATCGGGGGTAGCTGAGATACCTGTGAGTCCGTTAAATCTAATAACAGGTCCTTAGAGGCAATTTTGGGGTTTTTTTTGGGTGTGTTAAATTACTAAATCTTGTCATTAACGCTTTTATTTTATGATTTGCTGTTTCCAGGGCACAGACAGAAGCTTGATGACTCTAAACCTAGTTTGTTCTCTGAACGCCTCAGTGATTTAGGGCGCATTCCTCATCCCAGTATGAGAGTAGGGGTCCCGACCCAGAGCCCACGGCCCTCTCTGAACTCTGCACCAAGTCCTTTTAATCCACAAGGACAGAGTCAGATTACAGGTAAGAGACAGAACCATAGGTTTGACTTGCACAGGCAATGGTAGTAATTGCTTATGGATATTTGTGTCTCAGCTGCAGCAAAAGAGGCTGTTACAGAGCGAGAGATATGTTCTGAGTAAACCTAGGTGGGAAGTGGATTTTTTTTGTAGCATTTGAAGCTGAAACTGTCTTTCTTTTTTTAAAATATCTTTTTGCCATAAATCCAGAATAATCCAAAATAGTCAATCTGTGTAAATTGAGTAGGAATCTGGTGAAATTCTAACTGCCATGTTGCTCTGCCTTCTCCTCTGTGTGTGCAGTAGTACATATTAGTGTATAATAGAATGAACATTTTTATTCAGCCTTTTTGTTTTGCACTCATATGGAAGGAAGCAGCCAGCATTTAATGGTCTTTCTATTGGAAAAATAATAATACGATCTTCTCATGTGGTGGTTTCCTTCTAGCACCAGTGCTGACCACTGTTACAATAAACGAACTGGGTTATGGAGAAATCTCCAAAGGTTGCTTGTGAGGGTTGTATGCAACATTTATGATTGCATGCTGAGAGACAGATTTCATTGTGCTGGGAGAAATCATAAAGTACCATGTGTCACAGATTGTAAGACTGAAATAGGATGTTTAATTGCAGCTATGCCAGAAGTTTGCAACAAAACTGTGAAGCCTACAAAATAAACTGATTCTGTCATTTTTCTAAATTCAGAGCTGGTGAAGTTTTTCAAAAGAGTTTCAAAACAACCTCTACCTAATTTTGGCCATTTTTACACTCAAAATTTCTGCTGATGCATTTGTGTCTATCCAGGATGTGAAGAGGTGTTACCCTGACCAATTCACTTGCTAGAACTGTTGGAGAACTTCACGTAGATGCAAGTCTGTCAACAAAACTCCTGGCTCAATTTAATAGACCAATTTAAAACTCAGTTTTGCTGCTATGGTTGCATCTACACCAGGAGTCCTTTGCCAATGTTATATACCAGTATTCCTTTACTGGTAAAGCACTCCTAGTATAGACACAGTCTTTGAGTCAACCTAGGAAGATTTCTAGTTTCATGTTTCAAGTGGTTTTGACATGATACCAGCTGAAACTTAGTGGTTTTAACAAAGTGTTGTGGCTTTCTTCTTCTTTCTTTTTCTTCTTTTTTAAGTTCAACTGGTTTATTAATTTGCAGTAAGAAAGAAAAGTAAGTGGGTTAATTTGAACCCAAAGCACTCAGAGAACTGAAATGAAAAAATTGTTCCCATGAGCTGTGGCAAAGTTCTCCCAGATCTAGAAGTCTAGCTTTAACTAGTGTAAAATGTTTGTAATATATTAAATACGTCGATAGTAGCCATTTCACGGTAGTTGCTGCCCACCAGGTTCCCAGAGCAGGTTTTTTGGCTGGCCTTAGTGTTTTCTTTGTTGGACGTGTGAAATCAGGGCTCTTGTGCAGATCATTTTCTGGGTAAGAGCTGCCAAAATAAAGCCCAATATTTTTTCTAACCTGCTGTCTTCTGTCTGGCGGTGTTTGGGGACATAGTTCCTGGGAAAGCAGGAGGAAAATCCGGGGCTATGATCAGCTTTTTTCCTTCTTCCTTGTGCCTCCATAGTTTACCTATTGTGCAACACTATATCTAGGAACGAAGGCGGATGAAATTCTTCCTGACCCCATCTGGTGATCAGCTTATGCCCTGAAGCATGAGAACTGAGATCCCCTTATAATTTTCTTCCTAGCTAAGTGTAACCTCATATGCTGCTCTCATTCACATAAATGCCTCCTGTAGAAAATGTTCTGCTGGGTTTGATTAATAGAGTACTTCTCTGCCTCGTTATGAATCAGCAGCAGCATTTACAGATCTGGGAGGTGAAAACTTCAGATGAGCTTTAAATAAGCCTGACTGGAAACAAAGCTGTGTGGCATTTGCTGTGTTCTCTGCAAATTTAAGAATCAGCAGTTCAAAGTACCAGCCGAGACTTCATTGAGAGAGGGAAGATGCAGTGCTGGTAGGGCAGAGGGAAGTGATCTGAACCGAGGAAGGCAGGCTGCCTTTCCCACCTATTGTGGATTATGTGCTTTTCTTGACGGATAAACTCACCATTGTGGGGTACTTTAGAATCCAAATTGCTCTCATTTCTCCCAAAACAGTGAGAACTCAGCTGCTTATTAAAGTTTGCAGTGAATAAGTGGTCTGATACAGTGTTTGCTGTGTTATTTCCCACTCTTGTCTCCTCCTCAGTTTAGAAAAGTCAAACACTCAGCCCTCCAAGGTTAGTTGTTAGCCCTCCCATTTAATAAGGCGATTAGCGTGAGCATGTTACGTTGGTGCAAGCTCTGTGAATTGCACTGCCTTCCCCACGAGGCTTTTTGGTGCTCTTCAGGACATTGATTGTAATCTGTAAAGCTCTGCGCGTTTTGATGTTCCACCAGAGTGCAGGGATGTTTTTTGTGGACAGTGCCTCCGAGTTCTTCTGGGATGAATGGATGCTCGTTGCCACACAAACTGTGCCAACAAGAGACAAAGTTGATGCTGCAGACGAGGCACGTCTTTGATCAGGTGTTAGGTGACCATGGGAAGTTGCTACACGTCTGCCTCTTTGGTGTAGTGGTAGGCAGTGAGCTGTTTGGGCTGTCCATCTCCACCAGCTTCCTTGTTGTGGTGTGATATTCTGTGGGAATACCACTGGTTTCTTAACATGGTCATTGGGCTGGTGTGGCTTGGGTGTGTATTAACAGGCCCTTGTCTGAAAAACAAGGATTTTTTTATTACCTTCATTGGAATTAACCAAGCATTCCTTTAGAAATACATTTGTTTCTTAATGTTTTTACCTAGTAATTTAAGGAAAATAATTAATTCCTAATAACTTTAACAGTAAATACCTGTTTCCCATGTCAAAATCCATATTATTGCTAGTAAGCACATAAACTGCTTTTGTTTCGTTCCACTTGAGGTCTTGCATAGCTATTGCATGATTAAACAGAAATAATATTTAAAGCCTGGCTGGCCAACACCTGAGTCTGAAAGAACTCAGCACTTCGGGGTTCGCTCTTATATTTCTTTTCTCTGTCTAAGTTATGTTTATTTTCCTAGAGTATCACAGTACAGGTTTTGCAAATCACGGCACAGTCCTAAACCTACCGCAGGACCAGGCTGTGTCAGTACAAGGCACAGAGTTGCCCTTATTCGACATGGCATTTTAACTAGGATTCTGCAAAAGCAACATTGAAGGGTCATTAAAAAACAAATCGTCCAATAAGCAGATGCCTTTGCTGAGGCAATGCAGGTTCAATTTGAACCCCACTTGCTGCCCGTAAATCAGGAATCCTGTCTGTTCACATTTGGATACTGGTATATTTGCTTTTTTTTTTTTTTCCCTCCCCCCTTTCCCTAATGGCACTCGCACAACTTGCTCGTGTATCCGATTACATTCCCATTCAGACACTGAGCTGTTGCATCAGTGTTTCAGTATGAAACGAGGAAAACTGTTGTTTTTTCTAAAACGCAACCAGTGAGGATTAGCTTGTATCAGCCAGGAAAAGCCACGGGCGTAATGGCAGGAATGTGGTCGGCGCGAGGACCCCAGCAGCTGGGCTGCGGGGACTGCGAAGTGGGAGTTAAGTGAGGTTTCATGCTCCATCACCCTTGTGGCACCGTCTGATCTATAGGCAACCTGTGACTTTCATCACTGAAATAACAGCACTCAGAAGCAGGTCCCATGAAATTTTTTTTTTTTTAACTTTTCCTCTTCCCACTACCATGCACTTCAGGGATATTACACTTTGGTTTCTCATCATTTTAGGATTGTAGGAAGCAAATTTAAAGGTTTCAGAACTGGCTTACTGGAAGTTAGTGAGGGGACCCATGTCTACTGGCAGGCAGGAACTGGTTTCAGGGACAGTGTAAACTGAATGTGCTGGGAAGACCACGCGCAGAAAGCACCGTCGTCTCTCAGATGGAGGATGAGGATGGTACCAGCTGGGCCCTCCTTAATTCCACCACTCAGGACTTGCAGGCGTAGGCTGCAGAGTCAGGGAGAATGTGGAAAGCCATGCTCATCGCAGCATTTTCCTGGGCTCTGGACACGAAGCTGCGCAGTATCTACCTCAAAGACCAGTGCCTGTTCTCCAAGACCATCAGCTGCAGGACAGGTTTGAAACAGAAACTGTGTAGCTGTTATTAGACTGGCACTATGCAAGTCCTTCCCAGGGGCTGGCTGTGTTTTACCTGGGACCAGCAGCCCTCTGAAGCTCACACCAGTTTGTAGCTGGTGCGCATCGATCTGAGAGTGCATCAGGCAAAGTACGTGGTTGCCTGGAACTGGTCATTTAGAAGTAGCCCAAGTAACAGTCTTATAGGGTGAATTATGCCTTCAGCTCACTGTAACGTGGAATAAAAGCTACAAGACTCAGCGGATGAGGTGACGGAGTTGGGATTTCTGCCGCCATGAACACAAGGGTGGCTGCAGTCTGCTGTATTTTATGCAAATTGATTGCATCCTTCAGGCAACTGGCGAGTTGCCACTGTGAACCTCTATTTCTTAAAGCTTGTGTCCCTCCTATTAAAGTATTCTTTTAACACTGTAACGTGGAATAAAAGCTACAAGACTCAGCGGATGAGGTGACGGAGTTGGGATTTCTGCCGCCATGAACACAAGGGTGGCTGCAGTCTGCTGTATTTTATGCAAATTGATTGCATCCTTCAGGCAACTGGCGAGTTGCCACTGTGAACCTCTATTTCTTAAAGCTTGTGTCCCTCCTATTAAAGTATTCTTTTAACTTTTTTTTTTTCCCCCTTTGCAATTTAGTTGCCCTACTGGCATGACTTGTTCAGTGTATTTATTTTT